CCCCCCCCCATATTCAATCAGTGACAAATGAATTAGTTTCACGCATACAACACCCATTCATTAATTCAATCTCACTATGTCTTTCAGTACAAGAAGGGCAACAGACATTGATATGTGTGCTCATATACAAAAACAATGCACATTAAAGAGAAAAAGAACAAAATATGGCACCAAGCCTAAAGAAAAAACTATCACATTCAGTGAGTGCTGTAATTTGACTTTTTGAGTATTCCACAGGACCAGACTATTTTGTTGACAATATTATGATCCTTGCAAAAGAAACAAGAGTTCTCATGTGGAAAACAAATATTCCCTCTCCGTAATAAACACGGCAAAAACACGTTTTCAGCAAACAAATGCTAACCTATACCCACAGACACACATACATAAAAACTACAAACACTTCCATTCTGAAACAAAAAGAGAACAGAAACACATATCATCGCCACAGTACAACAACCCTGTATCTCACAAAAACAACATTTTATAGAAGGAAAAAACTTTGTCAAATTCCTCTAAAAACTATTAAAGTTGGAATGTTGCACAGGTGATATTTATTGAGCTACATGTCTAAAAATTTAACACAAAATCAACGGCGTTACATTTGGTCGAAAAAAAAAGAAGAAGAGAGAAACAAGTGGTTTTTCTCCATAGTGCGGGTTACAGGGTTGTTGTACCCAGGCGACAATATGTTTCCAACAAACACATGTACTTTAGCCTGCACACAACTTCACACACACACAAAAAAAATTACCTTCCAAGTCAGGCACACACAACATTTGAGGTTGTGATAATCCTTCTGCCAGGTTGAAATAATACAGCGCCCGGTCGTAGCACACGAATCCAACAGTTGTCCTGGCATCTCCCGGCAGTTTATCCAGTTCATCCAACAGAATTTGGCAAAACTGGGATAAATAACCTACAACCGAAGCAAAGAAACAATATTAAAACCAAAAGAACAGTCAAACCTTCTCTTACAGCAACTTGTCAAAGGCAGTCAACTGTACATGCCATGACTTGCCACTACCTCCCTTGCGTTTTATTTTTATTGCAATAACAATTTTCAAGACGTCCACCTGTTTTAAGAAAATTGCTCTTCTCATTCACAATGGGTAGTCGTCTTGGACAATTTCGACTAATTCTCAAAAAAACAACCACACCTAGAGATATAATAAATAACCAATACTAAAGAGCTGGAAATTCCTTTGCTTTTGGCAACACTGAGGCTGGACATGTGTATCTAATATGGTCAACATAATACATAGCTGCCAAGTTTTCAAAATTAAAAAACACGATTTTCATCGCGCAGTCGGCGAAAGAGACCAGTTCTTACGTCAAAAAGATACCAAAAGACAACTTGTACTCAAATGATAAGCACACCACAGACACAAGCATGCTGTGCAGCCAGATTGATAAGATGGCAGGGGCATCCAATGGCAAAGATGTCTGGCTGGGATTCCCTAAGCTTTGTTATAACTCCATTGTTTTGTCCTATCATCACTGAAGCATTGTCTGAACTCAAAGAGATGCAGTGCATAAAGGGAACACCTAAGGTTTCTAATTCTGTCACTACAAATTCTCCTATGTTAACACCACTTGACGGACCGTTGTCATTGAGGACGTCGGAACACCTTGTTTGTAGAAAACATGTTTGTTTGGTAATTTCAAAGCAGTGATGAAGTTGAATTCCTCTGAATACTTGGCACAGAAGGTGTGTTTGCAAGGTTTTGCCTTAGGCTAGAACTGGTTGGTTTTAAAAACGCATCCATCACTTGAAAGCACAACGCGCGTCCGTGATCAAAGAAATAGTTTTAGCTCCTGCGTGCATTCATCACAAAGGCTGCCCGCAACACACACACGATGACCTGTGACCCGATGTGAATGAATGAGAAACACAAGGCCCGTAGGCAGACCTGCCACTCTATGAAATCTAAAAATCAGGATTTTAAAGTTTTAAAAAATCAGGATCTAGAGTCTAGATCTAGTGAAAAAAATCGGAATCAACGGCAAATAAGTCATAAGGGGCACTGGGGAAAAGGGGGTGGGGGTGGTCCCGGTTCTTTATGAGGCGAGTATGCAAGACAAAGCTTTTTGAAAACTGAAAGACAGCATTATTATAATTATGTTACTTGAATCGGAGTTGGATAGACTGGGGGAGCGCAGGTAGCACTAAAGCTGAAACTCTCGTAGTCTTGAAAATAGCTGACACATAACTCCAATCATCAAAGAAAAAAGTCTGCGTTTTCATACAGTAACAACGTTTGACTTCCATCGCATATACACTCAAGGTACTCCCCCCCCCCCCCCGGAAAAGAGATCGCGCCAAGGTCGTTCATTTATTTTTTTCTTCCTTTCCCTTCAATTAGTCTGTATCACGGCACGCACTTTACGCCCAAATGTCAAAAAATACCCCCCCCCAGGTCATCCACCGTCCACACTGGTTAAGTCCCGGAAAACACCTCGATCATTGCGACCGGTGTGAATGAACTTTGTTGACCCCGACAACCGACGGTCCCCGACACACGCGCTACTCTGAACTGCTCACCACACGTACGAGGTCAGCGAAAGTAGATCTTGAGCGTATTTAAGTGGGAATTCAAAATTGATACTACGTCGATTTTAGTTGAAATAACGAGCGTGAGTCAACTACTAGATTCGGCATAGATGCTTTAGAAAATAGCGTTCCAAGTTCCAGCCGATAACAAGTCCAATCGGTGCTTCCAAGCTCTTTGCAGAACTTTTTATATTTTTTTCAAAGAATCGGACGCAACAGACGCAACGACAAAAAAAATCAGGATACTGGCGTTCAAAATCGGGAAAATCGGGATGCTTGAGATTTGGGGCAAAAAAAAATTAAATCGGGATGAGTGGCAGGTCTCCGTAGGTTACTTCCCGCTATTAAATAGCGCATGCTCAATAACATTAATAACAAAGAAATATAGAAGGGGCACAACTCGCGGAAGGAGGTGGACTTCCAGTTTAATTGCAGGGACACTACTCTCGTCGTCTTGTTGACTCCCGTACTTCGCCTATCCGGTCATAAATTTTCTAATTTTTCTTGCTTGAAGCCAGTTTGTATAGAAACTAAGAGGGGGGAAAAGTTGAAAACGTATTTTCCGATGTCAAAACGGATTTCCGTACTCAAACCCAAAAATCGTACTAAATACGTTTTTTACGTACTACTTGGCAGCTATGAACATGTATGGGAAAACTTAGAGCTCATAAACAAATCTACTCTTCCCATTGACATACTATCATAAGCATTATCCGTTAATTTTTTTTCTCTAAAAACATTTTCTAGCAAGCATTTAAACCACTTAAGTTGAACAAAGAAGTCAGCAACCATTTCCTGGCACAATAAGAGCATGCAGAGATGAAATTGGCATGAGTTAAATCAGCTTTAACTCACTGCCTCCCCACCATATTTCTCACTGCTCTTCCCTGAGAGCCTATTATTTCATTACGTATCTTTAAATATTACTGTGACATAGCACAGAGGCACAAATATAGCTGTGGCAATAATGTGATAAAATAAATTCTCACTCTGAAACTGCAGGGACTGTGGCAAAAGCAGTAGGCAGCGAGTTAAAAGCATTCCATTATTTCAACGTTAACTTATTCAACTGAACCAAAAAATGCACACACCTGTTTCCACAGCATTGAAAGACACGTCCAAGAGAAAGAGATACACAGCTGGCTGGGGAGGGCGTAACTGGGGGAGACAATAAAAGTAACAATCAGTTATAGAATAAATACATACACATGCCAGTCAGCAATCCTAAATATGTAAATTAAATAACTGCAGTTTGTTTAACCTATGATGCAGGTGTTAAAAAGGTTGTGTGTGTGTGTGGGGGGGGGGGGGGGCGCAGCAGGCTCTTAATCAATTTGAATTACAATAATCCTCCCTCACTATCAAATCTACAGGAATCAGAACGACTCCTTAATACGAGAAGAATTTTGTCTTCAAGAAAAACCTCTCTTCAGGAACCTAATAAGTGCCAGGCAGAGGGGGGGTTTTTTCACATACTCAATCATACAGGAAAAATCTTTCCAGTGAAATAGTGAAGAATAGAAAAGAAACAACTATTCAATCAATTAAAAATGCCTGCCCCCCACACCAAAAAAAATCCAAAAATGTAACTGCATCTACAGAGAACTGTATATGCATGCTGCCTAGCTGAAAAAGATTACTTTTTGAATTAACCATTGACCACTCAACTTAAATCTATTCAATATTATTTGTAGTTGCCCTCCCTATATCAATACATTTGAACTTTTTCCAATGGCCCCTCTGTCCAAGACAATCACCTATACAAATGACCACTTCAAACCTTGCATTTTTTCTATATTATAATGACACTGTCCAAGAGGACAACCTGTATAAGATTACCACTTTCCTCCTCTATAATAGGTGGCCATCTTGTACAGGTTTAACTCCATATTGAATGGAACCATCTGATTTATAAAAGTACCTCATTCGATAAGATAAAATGCATAATGATGAACACACTGTCTCTAGAAATTTCCTTTACAAAGATGACCGTGATTATGATGTCATTGACAACATACCCACAACCTTATAACAATCGCAAGGGACTTACCATGTACTCCGATGGTGCAATGAATTCAATCGTTGCTGATTTCACTTCTGGCCTACGTTGAGGGTCCCCATACGTTTTACTGACAGGATCAAAGGAGAACTCATCTGGCACTGAGTAACACAAAAAGAAAAGGTTTATTCAAATCCTGAATTAAATGTGCACTGTCATTAAGTCAGTTTTCACATAACAAGTATACTCATAATAATAATAAATAGCATTTGTTAGTGAAAATTCCCCCTCAACAAGTTCTATGCCCTTTACAATCTGTATTATTACCCTCACAGACCTGATAACATTCTGAAACAATCTCAACTTCCTAGTTAGTATACCGTGCAATTTGTCATTTAAAAGGTGCTAAAAACACACAACATACTGACAATATCTTTGGCTGTCTATAAAATGATGACCCCAAAAGCGGCGGGCTTATCTCAACATTGTCAGTCTTTCTCATTCTTGAACATCAAATGGAAGGTATGAGTGAACAATTTTGGCAAGAAGATAACATCCACCTCTACAAAAAATCTTTCATTTTGGTGAGACACGTTTAAATTAGTGGCTCTTAACCTGGGTTCAATCGAACCCTACGAGTTCGCTGGGTCGGCCTGAGGGTTCGGCAGAGACCAAGATACATACACTGTGTGTGTGTGTGTGTGTGTGTGTTTGTGTGTGTGTCCCATTCCATTCAGCCTCCTTGAAGGGTCAGTGAGTGCATGTATGAAATGCGGGGCTCAGTGCCTCCAACAAGGTTAACGATCACTACCCTCAATCATACTCCAACACTAAACATATAAACCAGTAACAAATGAGCAGCAGGTAGCTAGAGAAAACATTTTTTTTAAACTTTGAACCTTTAGAAAAAGAAATGAAAGTTGTATGCCTCTAAAACTTACAATCGTTGACTCTGAAGCACAAGTTGCACTTCCACCTCCTCTGGTCTACAAACACAACAAAAGGGTTGATGTACGTCCGGCAGGATCGGCATCGGACGATGACACTCGACTGAATGACAGGGAGTTGCTGAAGATAAAAAGAAAAAAAACACAAAAAACAATCAGAAATGAGCACAAAGATTTAAAGGGAGATTATACAATTTAGTCTTTTCTGTCTACCAGAACATCAAGAAATAAAATAATAGGAGCCTCTGTATGCACTGGATAGTTTTTGTAATGTCAACTTCCAATTTGGTACTTTGGTATATAAATAAGGTAGATGCCACTCTTTATTCTAAAATAATAGCACTTGTTACACTGATATTTAACAGAAAACAAACCAGAAACAGGAGAAATCCTCTCAAAAGACATTTGTGATCCATCGCGGGGAAATCAAGTGCTCGCCAAAATAATGACAGCGAAGAAACCAGCATTTCTTGTCACTTTTGCAATTTTTATCGAAATTTTGAGTTTCGGCTCTACACTTTTTATGACAATTTAAAAACCCATTTCCATGTGGATTCCAATTTAACTGAAAAACCTTCATTAAACACATTGACATGAAAAAAGGGTAAATTTTCATTTTCAGTTTTCAAGGACTTTCATGCTATGAAAGCTACCAAGCTTTGGAGGCTCCTTTCTCACTAATTTTACCTTTGACATCAGGTGACCCCCACCTCCTTAAATTGTTAATATCTTGACTTCTATCCACGATAGATGTGTATCTTCTAAACCGAAAGCAAGACAAATAAACAAGCTTTAAAATAATGCCAATAATGCCAATAATGCCCACAAACCGACGAGCGCCCGATTCCATCGTGTCATGACACATTTGATCACAATTATCTATTACATGTTAAGACTACATAACTTCAACAAGAACAGTATAATTCTGAGAACTGTTGACTACAGTAACTCAAAAGAAAACTCATTCATTCACAGCTATATATTGCCTTTATTGTTGAACCATGACATATTCTAACAGCTTTCGCATTTCAATACATCTTGGTTACTTAAGAACATTGACCTAACACCAGCACGCAATGATGCGAGTGTATGCAAAGGGAAAAATAACCTTCATGACAGTCAAAATATATTAAAGACCTCAGCTGCCCATTCCCACCACCTCTGAGACTCTCAAAACCTTGAAGAATCAGAGCTATAAAAAGGAAAAAAGCTTGTAGAGAAAGAGAAAACTGTCGAGAAAGGCAGTCGCAGCACTCAAGAATTACATTGCTTGACCATGAAACATCGTTGAAAAGTAGTTACGTTTTGTTGAGCGTGATAAAATGTACTCGGCTAATATAATTTGTTGAATTTTAAGAGTTGAAAAGAAAAAAAAGATGGCGCAATGATGCTGTGATCACTACTGAACATGAGAAAAAGTGAAAGTCACAAAGGTCCAATCAGGTTAGAATGGTTTGAATTTACATCTCAACTTAAAACTAAATGAAATAAAATATTTACAAATAATTTTTTTTAGCATTTTCAAAGAGCAATTGGATATCAATAAAATACACTAAAACACAAAATAATTGCTCAATCTTTCTTTTCAGGTAACATCTGTATATTTCTGAACATATATTTGTAGAATATAAAGCATAAAAAAGCAAAATTATAAGAGAAATTGAGCAGGTTGGCTGGAGAAGCAATATTATCATACATAAGCTTACTTTGAATAAACAATGAAAAAGAAAAAGATTTGTTGAACATACACACCACCAAGAGATGGAAAAAAATATATATACATCCCACATCTGTCGATAAAATGAAATGAAAATGGAGAGAAAGATTGGGAAGGAAAAAAACTTACTCCATCACATTCCTCCTGAAATTCAGTGACATAGTATGAGAGTAAACCCTCCCTTCCAGCATTGGGTACGAACTTTTCATTGACAATACTATCAACACTCCACCCTCCCTTAATAAACAATCCTTAGCTTGAATATTTCTTAAAACTGTGCGCATACGACAAAATAGCAGAAGGACTGGGAGCTGAAATCAGAGATCTTATCTATGAACCAACCAAATGAAATGTGACTCCTCAAAAGCCAACACGATTCACATGGTAAAGGATCACACAAAGGTCACTGAAAATGCTATCACTATCATACTGAAACAAAAGCGTACATATGTGAAAATTGATAAGGAAAAATTATAAAAAGAGAGAGAGGGCAGTCTGATCCAATCCAAAGATAAACTTACAGAAAGATCCCTGAAAGGATGAATAAGAATTCCCAGTGGTAACCTGGCTTTGCTGAGTAAAGCTGAAGTCTGTGGTATGGCATTCAGTGTGCAACGAAATATGCTGAGGAAAGAGAACAAAATTTACAAAACACGTCAAGGGCAGTTCGGGGGATCATCTTGATTTTCAGTAAGGTACAGCATAGAAAATTACTTTTTGACCGACTTTTGATTAAAAAGGAAAGAAAGTATGAACATATTGTAACACATTTGTTAGATCTCACACATATTCAATATTCAGGGATGCCATTAGGATTTCGTGAACATAACTGAACAACTAAAAGACAGTTTAAAAACCCATCTAATATGGAAATCTAAAAAAAATTTGCACTTCTCGGTAATAGAAATGCAAAAAATAAGGTTTACAGAAAACAAATTTCAGTGAAAATAACAGAAAAACAGCACCCACAAATATTCTGTATGTTTCTTACAAAGTTCAAAACTGTTTTCATTACATATTAACCGTCAAATTGCCTGAGACATTAAGGGACTCAAACCAGGATATCACTTCTACACATCAGGATATCACTTCTAAGTCATCTTCACACTCACTCTGGGCTGCAGTTGACTTTCTTGAAATCATGAGGCAAGATGGGCTTTGCCGTCTCCACTCCATCAGGAGGCATCAACTGCCTCTCATTGAGCAGGTTAACAGCTCTTTGTGAATCCTAAGAACAATAAATACATATATACATGTATTTTTTTGCTAAGGGTAATATTATAAGGGAATAAAAAGTATAATGGACCCTTCCAATACATTTTCAAACAAAGTTACCATTCTATATCATGAATTCACATCTATTTGCACTGTCTGTGCAACATTAAATATAAAAATAATAAATAGCCCGAAACAAACTCTCTATTCACTTCGTATAAGAATCAAAATTTATTCCGGTATCTAAGTTTAGAGCCCATAAAGAACTTGCAAACCGGTCCAATAGTATATTACTCAGGGCATTGCTGTCACTTTTATTCCCTTTAACCTCTGGGCACAAGTATGAAGACACATTAATATCTCTCCAGCATGCCACGGTCATACTACTGAAAGTCAAGCTACATCCATCGACATTCAAATTAAACAAAACATAAACCTCACGAGAGACAAAAAAGGGAATATATAAGAATGTAGGTTTTCCCTCCTGTCTGTTAAGCCCTTTAAGTAATTTGAAATTACAGAACATTTCAACAAAAGACCTGACTTTACCAATAGCAAACACAAATAATTCTGGTACGGGGGTGTGTGTGTGGAAGTAGACCCTCACCTGCACTCCCATCTGGCCAAAATTCTGGGTCATGGCATTTACATTATTGGCGTACATTCCTTGGTGAGGTTGTCCATAAGGTTGACTCCCATACGAGCCCGGTGGGGCACCCTGGGAGGACGAAAGGGAAAAATTAATCCTTTGCGCAACATGAGAACAATCATACTGAAAGTTACCAACTCTTTTCTTGAAAAGAGAGACTATAAATTAATCAATAAATAATTGTACTAAAAATCCCGTCACCCACATCTATTTAACATGCACCCTTAAAAAAATACTGTCGAATCATCCCCCTTAAAACAGATACAGAACAAAGAATGAGATTTCAGTCTATCAAATTAAAATGAAGCGTGTCCACAGAGTAATGCCCTTTTGAGAGTTAAAGAAAGTATGAGAGCATAGTCAACCCAGGGTACGAGGAAGAGGGAAGGATAGGACAGGCCAAATGGAAAAGAAAAGAAGACAATGCAAAAGGAAAGGGAGGGTAAAGGTACAATGAATACCACGGGAAACCATGAAGCACTATCTACTCCATAATGTAAACAATCAGTTCACAGCTTCTTACAACAGAGTCACAATAAAAAAGGAAACTAATACAGATGGTACATTGCAAAGAACAGATTGCATCATGGGGCATGACCATCTCATAAGTTACCAACAACAGTTAAAATGTTGTTCTTTAAATTTAACAAATGCAGATAATATTGTAATGAACAGGAATGTCATGTCATTACTCTAAATAAATATACGAGCACTAAATAAATTTACGAGTCTTCAGGTTGGCTGAAATCATGCATGCAACATAACAAATTAGCACTTAAACATAAAAAACCTACCCCATACTGTGAGGGGGGCTGCATGGCTCCGGGTTGTGCCATAGGCTGTGAGGTGGCTGGAGTGGGTGCTGGCGGGAAGCCAGGGACTGTGTTAGCTCCAGGTGGTGGGGGGTACCTCGATGGGGCCGCGTTTGAAGGGGGAGGGGGGTACCTCTGTCCTGGGGCGGCTGGTCCTGGGGGATGGGGGAAACTCCCCGGAGCGTTGGACGACATGGGGGGCGGGGGAGCGAAGCTGGAATTGTTAGATGGTGGACGAGGCTGGAACCCCCCCATGGGCGAACTAGACACAGGGGGGAAGCCAGCAGGACCACTCGGAGGAGCAGCGGTGGAGGAAGGGGGAGGAGGGGGGCCGGCGTTTGGGCCAGCAGGTGCTTGCGGCGGCAGTGGACCGAACCCGTAGGGAGGCTGCTGCGGCTGTACCTGTTGTGATGGAGCTGGTGGATGGGCGGGGCCAGGGGGCAACCCCGGTTGTGGAGGGAAGTGTTGAGCCTGTCCGGGAGGGAAACGCTGCGGCGGCACTTGGCCTGGGGCGCCAGGCAGCGGAGGTCTGGGCCCGGGGTACTGCCCTTGATTAGGTGGGGGGAAGTTCCCGGCCGGCACCTGACCAGGCACTGGGCTCCCTCTCGCTCCTGGAAAAGCTGGGGATGGTGCTCCTGGGAAGGGGAATACAACAATTTTTAAAGTCAAACCTGCTCCAATGGCCACCTGTACAAACAACCCTTCCCCCATTGCATGCTTTTTAAATAGGTGGGCAACTAGGGAGACAGGGAAAGACCAGGGTAGTATAGTTTTGTATGTGTGTTTGTTGGTGGTAGTTTTGTTTTGTTTTTTTGTTTTTTTAAATATTTGATTGCTTGCTTGTTGTTGGTAGTTTTTTATTTCCTTTTTTAAAAAAAATTATCTGAACGAAAAAATGAATGGTAGACAAATAACATGGTCGCCGATGTCTGTTTCAGATCTCGCACTTGATGACGATGTTGAGTAACAGTAAAACACTGTCCAAGATGCCCGCCTGTCAAGGACAATTTTCACTGTGAAGTTTGAGAATCTTTTTAAAAATCTGACCGCTATTTTCAGGATGCCTTGATAAGGACAAGTTTTACACCTCGATTGATATTTAACCTGGCTGCTTCAACCTTTCCTTTTACTGTGAATGAGATACAACACCATAGCAGACAGATACAGATACTCATTTTTTAAAAACTTCCCCACACGGAAATCGAACATGTCTTCTGAAGACAGGTGAAAAGCTTAATTGCTACAACATGAAATATAAACAATAATTTTTATGGAAGCAACTAATGATTATTTTAAACACAGATTTGGAAAGCTTTAAAAATTGATATCTAACATTTTATTTTCTAACTCTTCAATTTTTTTACACCTTACAATTTCTTTGTTTTACACAAATTTAATATAAATTCTCATTACTGATACTTCATTTTTCCTAAATCTGTCCAACCCTTAACTTATGCAGTAATTATTAAGAGATGTGTGTAAAATAATTTTTTAACAGCAGAGAGGCTTTACTATAACTCTATAATTGTACTTTTAAAAAGAAAAACATACAGCTGAACACACATATGTTGTCCAGGTTATGCAACAATTATTAGCCAATAGAATGAATCCTTATAGACCTTATTTATAAAGGGTGGCAAAATGAGCAAAGAGTAACAACACACTCGGGTATTTGGGGGGAGGGGGGGGGGCAAAAGTTTGGTGGCAATCATGGGTTGAAGAGGCAAAAAGTGCAAGAATTGAGATCTAGGGCTATACAAGAAACAGAAATAGTTACCCTGAAGGTGGAATCCCTCACCACGAAGAAACCTGAATTATAATCCGAACCCACCAGAACCCAAACCTCATTTTCCTAGTGTCATTCAAGCCTTGCAGACTGTCTCCGCGGTTTTATGCAAAAAAATTCTGAAATTATACAAACTGAGCCCAAAATTATACGATTCTGTTAATTTTAACAAAGAATGATAAAAGGAAAATAATCAGAAATTATGCAAAAAAATGATCAAATTTATGAGGGGTGCATAAAACCACTGGGACAGAACTTGCACCCCCAACTCAGTCAGACAAAATAAACTACCAGGCAGCAGCTGTCCATGGACCAGTCATTACTACTCAATTAAAAATACAACATACAAGACAAACGTTCAAATGATTTAATCCCACTCTATTCCGTAAACAATGGTGAAAAAGAGCAGCACTGCAACATGTGCATAAAAGCACTTTGAAACTTTAGGCAGTCATCACATTAAAATAACAATAACGCACACCTGCCAACCACCCCAAGACCAAAAAAAATAGGAAGTTTTCCCTAAAATTTTTTGGGGGGGGGGGGGAGATTCAGTCTCCAGAACACATACCAGTAAAAATTAAAATTACGTAACAAACCGGTAAAGGCAAATAAACGTGAGTAGCAGATACATGCAACTAAATAAGTGGATTTTCACTTCATTTACAAGTTGCACTTGATTGAAAATAAATATATTTCCACATTATTCATGATAAATTGCGCAGATAATGCAAACAAATACAGTCAAACTTGTGTAAGACGGCCACACATTGTCAAAGAGAAAAGTGTCCGTATAAGAAAGGTGGCCGTCTTAGGCACGACCGATCAAGATGAAGAAAACAAACCATTCCAATCTGAGGTCCCAATCGAAAGTAGTCGCATTGTTGTTTTTGTTGTTGGTGGTTTGTATTTTAACATTTTTTTATTTTGTTGCTGATTTTGCGCAAGGGTGACAATAAACAAAATGTATCAGACGAGGAAGACCAAGTGCCATGTTAAAACAAACACATGGGTCGCCACCATTAGGAGAACGAGCGACATTTCTGTCACAAGTTCATGTTGACGTCTTTTGTTACTTTGTTACAGACTGGGTAAACAGTGACCACTTTCACTTACGATTTGTGTATGAGTTCTGGGCGGGGCTTTATGGGTTATGAGGGATCACACATTTACCTCACCAGCAGCTGAAAATTGGTAGCTAAAGGTAAACATTGGGAGGGACCTACGCAACATGATCGGTTGGAGGGACTACCTAACAATAACGTCAGGTAATTGATTTATGACAGCTTGCCCACAACGCCAGGGGCCAATGCACAGTTCATGACAGAAAGTAATGGAGTCACTAAGGTGACCGTCTAAGACAGGTGTTATTGCTTAGTGTGATAGGGGTTGTGTGTCAAAATATGGTGGCCGCAGCCGCGTTGGACAGGTGCCCGTTTTACACAGTTAAGTTATATAGAAAAAACGCAAGGGGGGAAATGGAAAGTGGCCGTTTGTGCAGGTTTGACTGTACATTCAAAACATGTTTCGTCACCTCATTGAAGATAAAAGTCGCATGCAACCAATGGAGATGGAATTCAAGAAAAAAAATCGGAGAATGCAAATCTAGTCAGGATTCTTCAAACAAATATTAAAAAATTGGAGAGCTCCGATTTTATCTGAGTACTTGGCAGGTCTGATGATGAATAATGCACTCTGAAAAAGCATTACAAACACCCACAAAATCCTTTGCACCGCGAAACAACTACATCCAAGCACCTACCACGAGAAGGTGTGAACTGCCCTTCCAGCGCATCCATGGTTGAACCAGGCACAGGGGACGGCCCCCGAGAAGATTTCTGGGACGGGGGTGCTAGATGAGAAGAGAAGGCCAAGTGTCCAGAATTCTTTTCCAAGGTATTTTTCCATACATGTCATATACACATAGCAACACACTTTACCGATTCAATAAAATGTTTTATAAAAGTACAAAAATTAGAGTGAAATCGTACTGAAAAGATACACACAATATTTTTCATAATACGCTGTGTGACAACTCATTCCAAACACAAATTACCAGCATTTTGTAGATATAATAACATACCACCCCCAACAAATTTCATGTGTTATCAAGACATTCCAAACCCATGCAGTCAGTCAGATACATAGGTTGAAAGGGGTAAAAAGTAAAGATCGTAACTTAGGAATGAGTGAAAGCGCAGTGGTACACCAATATCAAGCATACAATCAACACACACTTTACAACAGAGGAAGTAAAGAATCGAATAAAGCACGTGCAAAGCTGAGCGGGTACGGTAATTTCTTTCTTTTTTTTTTCCAAACTGGAGTCAAATGGTAACATAAACTTAAGGACTCCGCTAACGTTAAAATACAAACATATTATAAAATAGAACTTACATACTTTTATCAAGCATTTAGTAGCAGTAACACTGCTCTTAAGGCTTTACCTGAATTGCCTGGAGTCTGAGTTGGTGTTTTTTGCATGAAAGGGTTAACCTGATGAGAGTATTGTCCTTGTCCATGAAACGGAACTGGCAACTCATTAGGGCGACCTGGGTACAAGATTAGGTCACTAGTCAGACTTGAAACCTCAAATTTAACAATTCACTTTTCAAAATTGGAGGGGAAAAATAATGAGCAGAAGAATAATTGCATTTTTACAAAAACTTGTCTGATACCATCGACTCAGGGTAAACGTTTCAATCCTAAATTTTAAGCCTCTCACAGCAGACACAAGCATTCCAAAATTATATTTTACTAGCCTTTTGAGATATTAGGTTGAATCTTTTAACCACCTCCATGAAACAAGATAATTTTTCAGCAACTCATGTCGTGAATAATTCATGCAATCATTCATCAACATGCCCAAACAGCAAAAAGGGACATCATTTTGTTACATTTCTAGCCACTCTTCAGATTCTCAAATAAAATATCATTGATGCCTAAAAATTTCTGAGAAGCACATCAAAATCAAATCAAATGTGTTGCGAACAACAAACGATACCTATAACAATTCACAGCCCCCATTTTCCTAAGCTTTGTCACACTTTTTGAAAACACAACAAGTAACTACACATCAGCATTCTTAAACTGTTGAGGTGATCAGGGACCAAAAAAAAAAAAGGGGGGGGGGGGGGGGGCCTAGAACACAAAGCAGATATGCCCCAACAAAATTAACATATACTAGTTAACATTTATATTTATTTAGAGTCATGTTGCCAATCAGTCCCTTTTGAACAGTATGGAATACCACAATACATATACCCTTTACTAAAAACACATTTTTAATTGATCATTATTTAAATCAGAGAATCCTTTTTAAAACTGCGCACTTGGAAGCCAAATATAAGCAGAAAAAGTATCTTGAGATCCACATTCGTCACAATCAAGAGACAAATGGGTCATTCCTGAAACTTTTTTGTGTTTAAACTTAGTCTTCTCTTTCATGCAAAAAAACTTTGCAAGGCATGCTTTATTAAAAACTAGACGACTCAGACTACTCAAGTTTTGCACATCTTTACGAAATTACCAACACAATTAAAAAGACACTTTAGCAATAGTACTGTTTAACCACAACAAACACACTGTTAGCTCAGAACAGAATCATTAGCCATACAAATTACAAATAAATCTTTAAAGAAAACAAAATGCCATGCACTTACATTAAAAACACCAGCAAGTAAAGTTTTCTTGCCTAAAACGTGTTGCACAAACTGACAAACAGCTTTACAATGGTGAAAATGTTAATTCACGTACTATTAATTACCATTCGCTACTGTGGATAACATGAAATATGTGTAAAATATATTTTAAAAACTTGGTAAAACCACAAACCCTTTCAAACATTGTGCTGATGCAATAACACGATGAACACAGGTGGTGTGTAAAAGGCAAAAGTTTTTGGTTTAAAAAAATAGAAACAATAAAAGAAAAAGAAGAAACCAAACCTGTACAAAATGAAAACAACTGAAAACCTGGCACATTTTTTAAAATAGCTGGCACCTCCAAATAACAGAAAACTGCACTCATATAGCATCTTATGCTTATCTTTCTTTTCAAAGCCAACAGTTCTATGATAATTGCAATCATGAAGAAAATCCTAAATCTACCTCAGTTTACAAGGTGATTGGAACGACTTCTGAACATCGCAACTAAAGATTTACATGGTAAGACTATTATAGAGAAAAAAACATACTACAAAGACATTTGAATCTTCATACTGAATCAAGTCTTCCTGATTATTGCCTCAAAAAAGGGGGAAGGCCAAAATTCTCTGTCCGTTCATTGTTATACTGAGTACAAATATTATGAATGGGATCATGAAAGCTTTATTACAGTACAAACAAAAGATTTAAAGCATGCAAAACGATAGCCTTATCATGATATCAAACAGGGGGAACTGGTATGCCACACATAAGTGAACAGGGTGCAGAACATGGGAATTTTAAAAAGCACTTACTCTGAGGGACTCCATCATGCGGCAGTCCGGGGTTCTGTTGAGAGCCATAGGTCTGGAATGAGGGGGGCTGTCCTTGAGTATTATTGAACGACCCACCCTGACTCGCAGACGGAGGCCCCCCTGAAGGCGCAGAAATTGTTGGCACTGGGGGTCGAGCCATCCGAGTGTTCATGTTCGCATTGCTTGGCCCATTCATGAAAGAACTGGCAGTCTGTGAGGTTTGGGGGGGAGGAGGCATCTGTCCAGCTGGTCGCATCGGGGGCTGCTGACCCGGAGAATTTACGTTGAACATAGGAGGAGGGGCCTGAGGCCGTGGAGGCCCTGCATTCATATGTTGCATTTGTTGAGGTGGCTGCATAGAAGTATTACCAAATCCATTCACTCCAGGAGGTCTTGGGGGAGCTCCTGCCCACTGGCCTGGTGGGTTGCCTGGAGCTGGAGGTCTCATGGGTACAGAACCAGGCTGAAACATTCCTGGAACAAATGGGCCATTTGGAGCAGGACCTGGAGGTTTACTTTGACCTGGCACTGGAGAAAAGAAAGGACAAAATTTATAGAATATACACAACAAGAGCCCATAGAAGAACTTAAACTCTTAACTTAAAAATCATCTCTATTACATTTAACTATTGTATCATTACTCATATTTTAAGCAACTTTATCACAAATCACACCCGAAGAGAAGCGTTGTGGCAAATCAGAATTTTTATAACGGAGCAAAGCGTATGATTGACTCCGTCTCTGATTCATCATTTATACATAAAATTAATTTTTTAAATGCACTATTTTCAAGTATTATAACACTCTAGTCCCATTTTCATCCACAATATCACGTATCTAGTATCAAGAATAGGCCACAACAGTATGATAGTGCAGTATATTTAATTCATTATCATGTATTTATCTAAGGTGAGTATTAAAACTGACAATCTTCCAGATGGGCACATTTCATTCACATTGGTCCATTGGTTGGATTTGGGTAATAAGGTAAGGGAAAGGGTAGGTATAGGGCATAGGATTAGGGTAACTCCTACAGATAGACACCCTAATCCAACCCGAACCCTTACCATATCATCGAATTTAGCAAATGTGAATAAAACATGCACATCTGTAAGACTGACGTTTCTGAATCGCCAACACCAAGCAAGATCACATTTATTTTCATTCAGGGTACCACAGAAAAAAACTTTCTAAACCAACTGTTAACATGGAGCACAGAAACAAAATTGAGAAAGAGGGTCACACTGTCATCGGACCACAGGCCACAAGTTCATCAAGATACATATTGTCACAGAAGGCCACCTATTGACATTGTCAAGGAGAAGACAGATAGACATCTGGGACAATGTTAGGCTAATTAAAAAAGCAAAGGGAGAAGTCGGAAGTAATCATTTGCACAAGTGATTGCTTTACTAGATCTAGTGGCCGTTAGAGCAAGTTCGACTGTAACTGAAATCTGAAGATGATACCTTTATCAGGATTTCTAAATTCATATTTCAATCCGTAAGTGAGAGCTCTTAGTACTATAATCTAGATACCAGATCTAGTTTTTCATTTGAAACTAACCAATTGAAACAAGCCATCTCTGAAAATACATTTGACTAAACGTAGAACGACGCAAACTATTTTTAGATAAGGCGGCCATCTCAACAGGGATACCCCTCCGATCACGTGATTACATGATCTAAACATAGCCAACCGCATGGCACCAAAGGTCGTGTATATCTACCATGGCATGACGCATGGTGCAATGTTTTTCCAGGAGACGTACTGGTAATTTGATATGATGCAGTGTTCCGATGTTGCTGCTGCTTATCTCTTCTGCGTATTATTT